TTTCTTTTTTCTTTTCCTTTTTTCTTCTGTTTTTTTAGGCTGAAAAGTGGTACGGTCAATCCCGTACCAACCGTAGCGGCTCCGACGGGCCTGCTACTTCTAGTACTAGCAACTAATTATGATTAGTGGATTTAATCATGCTCCTGAGTAGAATTAAATATTGTGATTACCTTAATCATGATTAAAGTTAATTACGCTTCGTGAAACAGTCACTTCAATTTAAGTACGAAAAGTTAATCATGATTAGTGATTTAATCATGATTAAATACTTAAGTACGCTTCGTGAAACCGGCCCCTGGAGCTGGAGCACCTCACCTGGAGCTCACCATCACCCTATACAGGTTGCCGGACTCCCGTCAATCCCGCCGAGCCCACTATCAACTATCCTCTTCACCGGATGCAGGATTTCTCATATCCCCCCAAGAACACCCTCACAAGGTTCAAGTTCCCTTCACCCCCGCCGAAGTCCATCTTCGTCTTTTATTAGCTGCAGGATTCCAGATCACCCAGCCGGAGCCCACATTTTCCCCTTGCCCCACCTTCCCCCTTGATTAGATGCAGGATTCCCGATCACCCTGCCGGAGCCCACCTTCACCCTTGACTGGATGCATGATTCCCGATCACCCTGCTGGAGCCCACCTTCACCCCTTGACCCACCTTCGCCCTTGACCGGGTGAGGGATTCCCGCACACCCTGCCGGAGCCCACCTTCACCACTTGTATAAGTGAGGGATTTCGGTTGTCGATCCCACAGGTTCTACGGTTTAGTATGTGCGAGGTAGTCGCCTTAAGGGTAGTGTCAGGTTGTTGCGTAGACAGATAACAGAAACACCGTATTATGAAAGCTACTCCTCGTGCGTCTATTTCAGCTCAATCAGACACAATACACACTCTACGAAACTACACAGATATCTACATACACACAGAATCGTAACCGACTATTAGTAACCTCTCGTGAGCCGTACAGCGTGGATCGCGAAGTAGCTCGGACGAGGGGTGGAAGGTGAAGCAGTGGAAGGTAGGAGGGGAAGATGGCAAGGAAAAGTATAGGAAGGAATAGGATCAGGAGTCGGGGGAAAAACTGACCACGTGTTGGCGGTAAGGTGATGAAAGAGCACCGGATGTCCACTTTCTCCTGCGCAATGTTGGCTGTCAACTGAAGGTCTCCATAAAGTATCTAGGCTAATTGGGCCCGCAGGCATGCACGCGCCGAATGCGCGCCCATGTTATATTGGATCGGCTCACACCGGCGTGACGGCGAGGCTGAATCAGACCCCCGGAATTTAGCAAAAGTGCGCGCTACGTATGGGGAAGCCAATGGGAGTTGGGGAGGTGTAGAGAGCCTGCGGTTAGGATGAGTCAGGTGTAGAGAAGCACGCTGTTCTAGGCAACCTGCCGCTTTCCCATACACTTCGTGACGGAAACTAACAGATGGATCGTAACTACATAACACAGATATGTAATCGAGATAATCAGTACTCGTACCGTAAGGCGTGGACGCGAAGTAGACTCGCAGGGGTGAAAAGGTGGACAGTTGAAGTACGGAGGGAAGAATGCAAGAAAAAGCTATAGGTAGCGAATAGGAAATCAGGAGCGGGGAAAAAACTGACCGGTCGTTGCGGAAGGGATGAGTAGCGCGAATCCCTTTCTCCCTGCGCATGATTTGCTGCAACAGGGCCCATAAAGTCTATCTAGAGCTATAGTTGGGCGAGCATCGCGCGCGTAGGGTCGGGAGGCGGCTCATGCTATTATTGGTGGCTCCACCGCCGCGGACGAGGCTGAATCAGACCCCGCCGGAAATTAGCAAAGTCGCGCGTACGTATGGGGAAGCCAAGACGTGTAAGCAAACCGCGAGGTGAGAACGCCAGGTGTAGAGAAGACTGCGGCTTTCTTAGACACCTGCCGCATTCTCCTACATACTTGACGGCTCAGCTCGTTCGACCTTGATCAATGTGATGAGGATTCGCAGTCGACACCCTGCCGGAAGCCCACCTCCCAACTGCCTTGACCCACCTTCGCCCTTGAACCGTGTGAGTGGATTCCCGGCACACCCGTCGGAGCCCGCACCTTATCACCCCTTGAACGACACCATTCGCCCTTGACACTGGGCGATGAGAATTCTCGCACATCGCCTGCCGGAAGGCCCACCTTCACGCCCTTGAACCCACTCCTTGCGCCTTGACGGGTGAGCGGATTCCCGCACACCCTGTCGAGCCCACCTCGACACTCCGTTGTTACCACGGCTTCGCCTTTGACGGTTGAGGGAAGCCGTACGACGAGCCTGTCTCACGCGACGTCGCTCCCCCCGTGCTCGTCCATCGAGTCCTCGATCTCGGCCGTGCCGAGACGATGACGACGCCGTGAGTTGAATAAGACAGTCGTCCATTCGTCGAATGCGGATGCGCCGGTGATGTGGATGTAGCCATCTTTGTCTCTGTGCGCGCCGTCTCCCGTGAAGTAGTACGCGCTAACGGCCCAACGATACGTATGACTGCTCAACGTCACCGCTAAAAAAAAATTAGAGGCCAGCACTGCCACTGCCAGCAGCAGACGGTAGCGGCGTTCTTCGTGCGTGAACAACATTACAATGCTTCGCCGTTTCCCCCAACGGGGTTGTTTACCCGTGATGATTCAGGTGCCTAACAACCTTAGTAAGCTACAAGTAACAAGTGACAAGTAACAAGTAACAAATGACAAGTAAGACTAAGATAGTAACTCAGAACGATGTTGCCAACATAACGCAGCAGTTGCACAACTACTTCTATGTCCGAGTCGCTGCCTGAGTCATCTAAACCACCGCGTGCACCTCCTAGTGTTTCACAATAATGAACTACTATATATATGTAATATATATAATTATATATTATATATATATATATATATTATATTATATATATAGTATAATATATATATATAATTCTCTGCTATGTGCTGCGGCTGTCATCGTTATCTCACCTTGGAAAGGTTTGAAGTAGGTGTCGACGTAGCGGTTGTGGTGTCCGTAAATTGTCCTCGCCATGCCGGGCCAGGGCAGCTTAATGCAGAGAGCTCCATACACGTCGTTACCCGTGAACTCCTTACCCTGCGGTGAGGTTTTACTCTTACTGTCAGATCTCGCCTTTGTGATTCATCATGATTATTCAATTACGATTTCAGGAGTTGTTTGTTCAAGTTTGTTGTGTATGATCAGTTTCATAAACGATCCATGCTTTTCCAAACCATCCATCCAAAATCCCACCCACACATCCACTCACCCATCCATCCCTCCCTCAGATCCGTCCAATTAGCCACCCAACCACCCAATCAACCAATAAGCCCATTCACCCACTCATCCACCCACCTTTCCATTCATCTATGACAATACGATGCATATGAATTACTTTGCGACGCATACATACACTGTCAGGACAGACGATTGCTGGCGCGATGCCAAACATTGGCCGCATGGCGGCTCCCGGTATAATAGGTGCGGCAACCCTTGATGGTCTTGGCGCAATACAGATTCCGCCGGTCTCTGTAAGAGCCAACGAGACGGTCATAACTTACGGCGACGACGCCCACAGCATTAACAATCAACGAACTTGTTCCCCACGACGACGGCGGTCGCGCGGCGCACGGGCGACTCACCTGTCTGCCACCAGGTGTCGACGATGTCGCACTTCCCGTTGCCGACGACGTTGTGATACCACTCCCACGCCTCAGTGTTTATCGGTTCCCCAACTGCAAGATGGAGACCAGTGTCGTGGTAACACAGAGGAAATGGAGAATACTAGTGGCGCGTGATCGAGCCCGATCTCCCGTCAACCACCCTAACGACGTTAAATACCTCAGTTAATAGATTCCCACAGGTGAACATCGCATCCATTGACAGTACAGATGCAAATCTCTACATGGATCTATACGAGCTATAATCATAAGAGTTGCATTAACATGAACTGTAATTGCATTACTTGAACAATAATGTATCAAATAACATCGATTTATCATTAGCTAAATTTTGCATGGATGTAATGTTAAAATGACCAGTACCATGTGTGTTAACATTGTTAAATAGGATGCAATGATGGCGGTGGCGGCGTGAAGGTCGGGGTTGGAGGGTGGACGATAAACGTAATTCATACAGAAGGATGTCGCGGATGCAGAATGACGAAGCTGAACAAGAAAAGGCAATATGCTACCTGTGCCAGAAATCCTCAGGGATGAGGGATAACAATGAAGGATACACAAGAATGAGGCTTTCTTACAGGAATAGCCATCGCTCACCCATTCAAATAATCCTCAAGGATGAGAGGAACAATGAAAGACATGGATGCAAGACGCTGGTCTAGGACAGACATCCGTCACCTGTGCCAAGGACCCGCAACGATGAACGGTCATAGCGTGTCACCCACGAGTCTCCGTACTTCAGCAGCAGTCGAATGGCGGTCGGCGAGCCGTAAAACTGGTTCACTCGCAGACGCTCCACCATCTCCCAGTACCGACCTGCACGAGAACGAAGCGTTGTCATGGTTATACTACTCATCACACGAACCAGCCGTCAGAGAACAATCGCAGGAACAACACACCACTCTGCGAGCATGTTTAGCTTTTGTAGCTACTTTAGTGAATGCTTAAATCATTCGAATTATTACTACCTCGCAAACATCAGACTATATATAAGGCAAGTTTAAACGAAGTTGTTTAAGATTCAAACAATTTGTTATTCAATTAAACAAAAAAATTTGTATGAATATGTAGGTTCGAGTATAACTATGCTTCAGAAATGTCCATTGGTTGTTCTAAAAATATGCTAAAAGTCCTACAGCAACAAACTGCTCCAATTAAAAAAAAATAATCGCTTAAAACCGACCCCCCCCCCCGACCCCCAACCACCACCTATTAAGCATGCAGTTGCAACACACCATGGCATTTTTTAATAGTAAAACAACACTGAGATATCACCAAAAGATGGCAGGTACATGACTGCAGACAAAAAGCAGAGTGCACTCGATAACAAGTGCAAATAACAGATATCCCCTCACCCAACCCCACCACCGCGCACATACACAGCAGTGAGCATTACACCATGCAAAAGAAGGGTCATGGTACTAGGTTAAAACTGATGTAAACTTAACACTACACAAACATTACCCATTAGAAGTATTGGAATCCAAGACTGCAGTTCCAAAACAGAAAAAACATAGTATACCAGATAATTACAAGTCTAGTGTAACAAATAACCACAATATGTATCAGATAGGGGGCAGTAGAAACTATTTTACATATCATTTACCACAATAGCAAACGACGGAAATCGCCACCTAGCAGCCTATGGCTACGCTGATTGAAGTGATTGTGACAGTAATATCGTGCAAGCATGCACGAATCTGTTAGACTAGTACTAGATTTCAATTACCAACCTGGGTCGGGGTAGGTGGGAATACTCTCAAACAGGACGGTGGTGGCTCCATTGCATAGAGGCCCATACAGCACGTACGTGTGGCCCGTGATCCAGCCTATATCAGCCACACATGCATAGATGTCTCCCTCACGGTAGTCAAACACGGTCTGCATATATGGATGGATAAAACGCTGAATTAGGAAAGCATATACAACATCACACTTAAAGGATTTATTTGGAAATCAGTGCTTGCAAAAACGCACAATCTGAAAACAATATAGCGAAATATAGTCTTACCTCATAGCGGATATATATTACTGATTACACCAACTTAAAAAACACGCTATAAAAATAAAACACACCCAAAAATATGCTATTATAGCATAGAAAATTGGAATTGAACACGCCATAACACCATGGCATTTTTTATTACAGCGACAATTTATTTGCAAGTGGTGCCTTAATGCACCAACAAGTTATAAGTGCACCTATAGTGCACCTAATTCAAGCAATAGGGCATCTGATTCTGTGTAGTTGACTCCTTTTTTTTTAAATTGGCTGATAACTTGCGCTATCACGAGATAGTCAGAGATTTGCCAGAAATGGCTGCTGTAATGAAAACGAGTAATCAAAACTCTAATCGTGCATGTTTTGGTGAATATAGCCAAGTAGGAAGGTTCTAAGACATGACAGCATTATTCTAGACAGTTGCAGTTACTCAAGCAATAATGGTAAGTATCGCATAAGTGGGGAAATCACGAGACTGGTTGGAAATTATGTTTAAAATAAATACTTTAAGACATCATACTTCTATATTCTGCTACTGGTGCTACTACCGCTGCTGCCACCACCACTACTACTACCACCACTACAACTGGTGCTGCTGTTCCTGCTACTGCTAACTACTTCTAGATAATAGTAATACTACTAGTACTAGCAAAATGCCATAATTGCTAACTACTGCCAGCTACTATTACAGTGACAACGACTACCACTATTATTAACACAAATACTACCAGTATTACTACTATTAGTATTACGATTTCTACCATTACAACAACCACTACAGGGTGGTAGCTAGCTGGGGGGGGGTGCTTGCCCCAATCAGACAAATCAAGATACTAATACATGGTCAATAGCAAATTGCCATGGCCAACTGCCCAAAACACAAACCACACATGACCTTGCCCCTCCCCCGCCCTAGACAAAACGAGATAGATACGAACCTGCGCCACTATTATGAGTAACACGACTACTACCACTACGTACGTATATATACGTTCTGGCTGCACCCACCTGGTGTGTGATGGCTGCATACAGCAGGTAGCCAGCCTGCGTGTGAGCGATACCCTTCGGCTGTCCCGTGCTGCCGGACGTGTAGAGCATGAAGAGGTAATCCTCGCTGCCCATCACCTCAGGCTCACACTCTGTCGACTGCTTCGCCATCTCCTGTAACCGATGGCAACGAGAGGCTTCAGGCAGGGAGCGCCGAGGTTCGAGCAGGGAGCGCGGGCGGGCAGAAGTTTGAGCAGGGAAACTAGGAATACAGTAAAAACCAGCGTATAAGAACTGGCATTTTTCCAAGTTAGCCTAAAAAGGTTCTTATATAATTGGTGTTTACTGGGAAGTTAGGCTTTTTATTTAAGTTCTTAAAAATAGATTCTCATTTTCTTAAGAAAAAAAGGTGCTTGTTGCTGGTAGAATATTGGTGCGGTTCATTGTTTATATAAAATATGCATATATAATTGTCTAAATGACTGAAATCTAGACAAATACAAACCCTATTCTAGGATATCTTATTTCTTTTTTGTTTTAGTTTACTTAAGAATATGTAAATGTTCACTGAATTTTATCAAATAAAAACCTGTTTCAAAGTTTAGGCTAAAACTGGTTCTTATGTCAAGGGGGTCTAAATGGAAAATCTTAGCCTAACAGGTTCTTAATCCCTCATCATCATCGGCAATCCCTCGAGTTCGAGGATGATTGTCTTCCATGGGAAAGCTATGGATGTCTGTGGGTCCTCAGATGACTGACAAGGCCAATCCTGGATCCACATGTCTTGTTACAATTAATGTATGCAGGTGTTGTTGAGATTGATGAATGGGTCAGGGTGATTCATTCTGTCTGCAGCACGTGCTCTCTGTCGCTCGCGATTTTCCATTTCATGCTGCCTCCTTTGGGCTTCAAAGTGTTGAGAGCCTAATTCCCATATAGTTTTTCTCCATTGATGGTGATTAGTGCAACAGTTTCCCAGGTGCTAGGGTCGATGTTATACTTTTTTAGGTGGGCTTTGAGTACATCCTTGTAGCACTTTCTCTGTCCTCCTCTTGTGCGTTCGCCTTTTCGCAACTGGAAATATAGGACTTGCTTAGGAAGTCTGTGGCTAGGCATTCGGGTAACATGGCCAGCCCAGCGGAGTTGGTGACGTATTAACTGTGCTTCGATGCTAGTTGTCTTGGCTTGTAAGAGAATACTAACGTTAGTGCGCCTGTCTTCCCAACGGATTTGGAGGATCTTTCTTAAGCATCTTTGGTGATATTTTTCCAGTTCTTTTAGGTGCCTCCTGTATGTGACCCAAGTTTCAGCTCCATATAGAATGGTGGGGACAACAACTGCTTTATAGACTAGCAGCTTGATATCAGGTCGTATGTTACAGTCATCAAGGACACGTTTCCTGAGGCGACCAAAGGTAGCACTAGCGCACTGAAGTCAATTTTGTATTTAATGGTCAATGTCGGCTGCCTGAGAAAGGTGACCACCAAGGTCATGGACCACCAAGGTCATGGATTCGGATCTTTGGAGCTGCAGCTTGTTCATTAGGGGCTTGCTGATGGAGCACCTTTGTCTTCCTTGTGTTCAAGGTGAGTCCCATTTTCTCATAGGCTTCAGTAAAGACATCTACAATCTGCTGAAGATCCGCCTCTGACTGTGCAACAAACTACGGCGTCATCACCATACTGGAGGTCAATAACAGACAACGCAGAGGTTTTGGTTCGAGACTCTAATGGGTCTAAAAGGAAGTGTCTAAGAAGAAAGGAGGGGTCTAAATGGAAAATCTTAGCCTAACAGGTTCTTAATCACTATGTTCTCATACACAGGTTTTTACTGTATTACATCGTTATAATATAAATAATTAAATCGTAACGTTATTACTCGTGTTGTCTCTCACAATTGTTCTAATATTGGGTTCGAGAGTGAGACTGCAGCTTGGTATTTCAGTACTTGCACCTCTAGCTTTCAATCTTTTGAAGTGCCCACTGTGATAGAATGACTATAATTATATACATATGGAGATGATAATATACATAGTATACATAGAGTATGACGCTCATTGCATATAGTCGTGCACTCCTCACAGAAGAGGAAAAACCTTGTTCTGCGCCCAACTGTTAATGCATGCCTACCTAATTTTTCTATGGCCCTCTGTATGTGGGGTTTAGTTGTGGGCCGCTAACCCAGCCACCAGTTCCCTAGATGCAGTCATCACCCCAGCTTTCCCTCCCCTCTTATGGGTCTCTGGGTGATTCCACATAACCCTGTTCAACGTCTAGATCCCTCTAGGTGCTGCTGACCTTGTCTCTCCCTTCCTGCTATGGCATGTTAGTTACATTACACAATCAACAATCTCCCCCGATCACTCTCTTTGTGCGCTACTATGGACAGGTACACTTTAGCCTACCCCTCTCCCGCCAAGTCCCCACGAAAATGTTGAGCTAATACATACAGGAATGAGTTAGTATACTCCTTAACTGCTGTACAGCCAACTCACGGATTCGAGCGGCATGTCCATTTGGCCCATGGACACCGGCGCCCCCGTTCGTTGTGCGACAAACACCTGCCGCACGCACGGACAGTCGAGGACGGCGCGATCGACCGTGCTCTTCAGATCGATGGCCTTACCCCCTCGCAGCACCTGGTCCGCCGTGATCACAGTCTCCGCCTTGGCTGAGGATGGCAATGGGGAGGACGTTCAATCGCGAGAACAGCCAAGCGTGCGGCTGAGCACCATCGTACGGCTTGCGCTCAGACCTGGCATGTTGCCTGCATGGGTGTCATGTACGTGTGCACCTGCGTTACCTCATCATAATTCATCTTAATGTAAATATTTAACAGGTTGATTAAGCTGACTGGTGAATGATATATTAATTTAGTTGATATTAAAATTATACATCACATAATAAAAATCGCATAATACGAGCTCACGTGGCTACATATACACAGTGTTTCCCCTGGTATGTGATAAGCAAGGTGGGTTGCCATGGTGATTTATCATCTGCCTCGCTGAATATTTGCTGAAATTGCCACCCCGCTGCAAAAATCTCGCTCCCTCCCCATATCTGATACCGCCACCACTACCTGTGTCCCAGGTTCTCCTTCTACCTCCGCTAACCAGGACCCCATGTGTTTGATCTGTGTCATGCTGCCACACATCAAATAAACTCCACGACTGTGCTCGCTATGCGCCAGGCACACGCTAATCACATGTAAAGGCACTTGCGTCAGCGCCTTCAGTACGGACTCATTCAACCATGCCACTTTGCTCATGATTACAACATCCAGGAGAAACACTGCATATATATCAAGGCATGAAATTCGGATTTTTTGGCACCGGCCCAGAGGGCTGGTAACAGCAGTTTTTTACCAGCCCTCACCATAATGTACCAGCCCTCACAAATTTTGTTTGCTGTTTGAACCAGAAGTGACCTAAACTAAGACTTGGAATGATAATTAAAAATGCTTGTCCGAAAAATGTTGTAGCATGCGGCATCGCGTAGTAGCTGTTGCACAGACTATAATGCAAATCGTGAATGATGTTCGAAGTGTTTTTGTCAATGTCATGTTTCACATTTGCATTCTCGATTTCAAATTTGTAAAATTTTGATAAATTATGGTGTGATATCCTTCAGGTAAAATGGTAATGTAAGCTATTTGCTCATTAATGCTATAAACAAAAATGTAGGTACTCACTAACATGGCTGAAACCGCCAGCTCGGAGGACCGGTGTTTTGCCAATGTTACTGGCCCTCCAAATAATTTGCCGGCATATGCCGGTGGGCCGGCGCTAATTTCGCGCCCTGTATATGTATTGAACAATAACGGGGCGGTGCCGTTTGTGCGCGCGTGACATGGCGTCCGACCTCACCGTCATTGATCCTGCTCGTTAGCGCGTCCGCGCTGAATCCCGCAAACACGACACTGTGGATGGCGCCAATGCGAGCGCACGCCAACATGGCGGCCACGGCGAGCGGCGTCATCGGCATGTAGATGCAGACGCGGTCACCACGGCGAACGCCATGTGACTTGAGCGTGTTTGCAAGCTGGTTCATCATCTCGTACAACTGTCTGTGGATGGCAAACGTTCGTGAGTTACTATGCATGCGCATGTGGGAAAGAGAGCGGCACCACTAGATTAGAGTGGAGACCAACTGGCTATGAACGATGGAAGGTATTGCAAAGTAGATCTGTCCGTTGACTACAAACAACAACGCACAAACACTATCAACTATAAACTGTGAAGACAAGGAATGATCCACAGCTGGAATAGGTTTACACAAGGAAGAGCAAATAGCTCGGTCACAGAGACCTGTGAAAGAATTAAGGTAACCTTGGGAGAGTAACACGCACTTGTATGACACATTCTCTTGCTGGCCCGGCTCGTCCTTCTCCCATATTATCGCCACCTTGTCCGGTGTCTTCATATAGTGGCGATCAACACAATTCACTAAAAAAAAAATATCGAGTCATCATGACAGCGGCTCAAGAGTCAAGGATAGACAGCATGTGCCGTAATAAACATCATCCTATCCTATCACCGTCCTGGACATCATCTCTATCCTTGAACCATGACAGCTGTCACTTGCAACTAGAATTTACAAGGACCACCTTTGTCGGACCGAGTAGACGTTTCTACTCTGATGTACTTTTTGGCCGATAACAGAAACATTCACTTGAACTAGGTAGAAGCCCTCGACCTCTCTTTCTCTCTCTCTCTCTTTAAAAAGGTAAATTACAGCATTCATTTGGACTAACAGTAACAGTAACGGCAACACAAACGCACAAGCACGATTTAAAACCAAGCTAAAAACTCACAATATTGACAAATTAAGCTCTAACGTTTCGTTATACGACCAACTAACCTGAAACGTTGAGTTTCCCGTTTATAAACCATTTCAGCTTTGCCTTCGTCATGTCGCAGTCGATGACGTCATCGAAATCCCTGTACCAACTGAGCCTGGTTCGGGCGAGCGAGCCCCAGAAGGCCGAAGGGTTGTTCAGGGATAAGTCGTAAACTTCCTGGTGGGGCAGCGCTTTCTGAAAATACTGTGAGATTTCTGGAAGTTGTGCAGTCGTGACATCCTGCTGCGCACCGGCCGCAGCGGTTCTCGCGAAGTATCGAATCAACTGCGGGATGGTGCATCTTGTTGTGGGAGAGAGGAGCGCACATGATAGAGCTCGGCCATACATGTTGATATTTGCTTGTTTTTGCTGGATGCTCAGTTGTCACCGCGCCAAATATTAAATAACGGGACGTGGCGCCATCTCGTGAAAAATTACGAATTCATGTTCACGAGAGCCTAGTCTCTAGAATATTATTTCTGTGACAGTAACCTTGACAGTCACAGTAACCAGTCATATGCACATATATATCATCCAACATATCACCCAAACATATCATACATTCATCTAATAAACATAATAGTATAATATAGTGTGATAAATATAGTAAAATAAAATAAATAAACATAGACTGTATAATTGGCACACACATATGCGCTTGCACGCACGCAAGCAGTAACACATACTCTCACATTACGCCTTGGGGTAAAATTATACAAACTCACATCTCATGATCTCAACACTATACTTTATATATATATATATATATATATATAATGTGTGTGTGTGTGTGTGTGTGTGTGTGTGTGTGTGTGTGTGTGTGTGTGTGTGTGTGTGTGTGTGTGTGTGTGTGTGT